TTTTAAAAGTACCACAATATTCCATTCACTATTTCACTAATCATGTATCCGATTACATTCAAAGTTATTCAAAGAATGAAGTCAAATATATCTATATAAAATAAGAACAAGATTAAATCATTTTTCGAAAGAATTTCCCGCCAAAATCATTAATTAGATACTAAAAAGGGCAAGTTATATATATATATATATATATTTATTTTTTTTCAATAAAAAAAAAACATTAAATGCACTGCCATAATCTCGATTGTTCTTTGTCATACTCGGTTTTTGTTGTAAGAAATTTTTTTCGAATTTTGTGTTGTGAACATTTTGAATATAATTAAAATCAATTATTTTATGGTAATAATTTTTTTGAGTGTATTTTTTTCCTCATAGAAGATTTTTAAAATCACCGATTAATAAAATGAAATCTCATTCTAATTATGGACAATACATATATTTTCCGAATGATTTTGCATGGAAAAACGATGACTTTTAATAATGTATGACATTTTTCTTGACGAATTAACATTTTATGATTAGTTGACAAATCCTCTATGTATCATAACTTATATTAATAGTCTTCTATTTATAAATTTTACCAAAATAATTACAGTCCATGCATCGCACGGGGTACATACTAATTGCTTACAATACAAATTACAGCAAAATTGAAAACTATATTTATGTAGACAAATAATACTTTACTATAAGCATGGTGCCACACAACACAATCAGTATGATACGACACGATAAATATGAAAAAAAACAAAAAAAAAAAAGTACTTGAAGTTAAAAACCGTATCATACTTATTGGGAGATTCTACAGTTCCGTTAGGAAATCATTCCGTCAAAGTTTGTAACCATTAGATTAACTATCTACGACGGTTATATGATGATCTAACAGTTATATATCTCGACGAATGATTATGTAACGAGACTTTAGCATTTCTCCATACTTATAATTAAATAAAATAAATAACAGGACAGTTAAATACAAAACATGATACCGCTATTTGCTAGTCTAGAACATGAGCATGTGATCACTAGGATCAAATGATGTCAGGTTTGCATTAATCACATTTAATTGTCCCTAATTATAGGTCAACTATCATAACGGGTCATTAATTAGGGGTTTGGTCCGATTTTTTAAGACATCCAGCCAGTATAATGCGGCTTTATAGATGTCACCCATATAGGTGGTGATATGGATTCTATATCAGGTCGATTTAACTCAAGAAGCGGTTTAACCAAACAATGTGAATCAAAAGATCGATCGGAGGTCAAAGGAAGCCATGTAACTTAAGAAAAGTCGAGCTAGTCGTATGATTAAACCGTCTAATATGACAGACTAATATGAACACCCTTTATTAAGGATAAGAGAGAATATTATTAGGATGAGAACTACACGTAGATAGAATCACGTGGCCTAACAAAATCAGACAGTTTGGGCAGCGAAACAGCCTATTCGGACAGTCTTGGGCAAGAAGGTAACACCCACATATAAAAGGGTGAGATATGATCATCCAAACTCTACACACTATTACATACATACAGACTATATTGCTACTATTTATCGTCTTCATACACTTTTTTACTTAATCGTCGAAAGCTCTACACTGGGACTATTTCCTGACGCAGTTGGCAGGTCTTTAAACTGGACAAAGGCGGATCCTAGGTCGTTCAAGCTAGTCAAGGTTGTTTTACACACCATTTTGTCGCCCTAAGTGGGACATCGTTCGAAAAGCCATCAAATCACCACTATTCATGGAGAGTGACGGTCCCCGGAGAAATTTGGAGCCCACCTAATTCGACGAGGTTTGAATCTCTGTTGTAAGTATTTTTATCGGAGTTAAATCGAAAGATTTATTCCCCGGGTCATATCACAAGGAAGATTAGCCAGATTTAATTGTACGATTATCCAATCACGAAAAAGAGAAAATAAATTCCTAAACACTCTAATTCAAAAGTTCGGTTTTTCAATTATCAACTAATGACTTTAAAACTAAATGAAATACGATTTCAATAGCAAACAAATTCACTTAATGTTAAAAGAGCTTGGGAATTGGGGATAATCGCTTTCGGTTCTAACACAATTATCGGGCAATCAGTTGCTCGATTAAAGGACTTGAATCGTTTCTCGTCCAGAGGTTCACTCTCAATATATAACTCTTCGTAACAAGAGAGTGAATATGAATGATCAACTATCAATTCCAATAACACATAGACAATACATTAACGAACAAGTCTAATCTAAACGAGCCTAAATCGACCGACATCTCCCCTCTCGGTTCTAAACGTCGATTAACTAGGTTAGAATGGTGATCAATCAAATAACCCTATAATTCACACAACTCGTATAGATTTGAACAATTAAAAGCATGCAATCATAAACGAACAGAAACAATCATCCCATATCCCTAACGAATGGATTT